CTCAACATCTAGCAAAAGCATTGGGGAAGGGCCCTGTGTTAAAGGAAGAAAGAACACGGCCAAAACCAATTAGGTGCCCAAAGAACTGAAATTCCAACAAAGTACTAAAAAACATCAAAGGAGTTTTCGTAATTCATGCGTTACGGAACCTTCCAAAGATATTTAAAACCCAAATTACAGCAATTTACAAGAATTACCAATTAATGTGTGGTGCTTAAGGTTCTCAACAATATCAAAAATACCTTGAAATATCAGGATGTTTGCAGGTTACCGAACTGGAAATGGCAGAACTTATTGGAGCAAACGTTTCAGAGCGAATTTCACAAATGAAATACGGGCATTGAAGAACAACGAGAAATTGGGTTCAAAATCAAAACTGAAGTCCCTCAGTCCATTTGTAGACGAAAATGGTGTAATTCATGTTGGTGGAAGTTTAGAAAATTAAAATTTTGATTACAAACAAGCACATCCAATTGTGTTGCCCGACAAAGATCATTTCACTGATCTAATTATTCTTCACGGTCATCAGGTAGTAGGGCACGGAGGAATAACAGATACTTTAAATCAGGTAAGAGAAATTTTGGTTGCTGAAGGCTGGTCGAAAAATTAAAAGTGTTCTGTACAATTGCAATACCTGCAAAATATTTCAAACTAAACCTGTCATGCAAGATATGGCACCTCTCCCACCAGAGAGATGCCGAGAAGCCTTTCCGTTTGGAAACTCCGGGATAGATTACGCGGGTCCACTATACATTAAAAGTGGAAGAGAATTATCCAAGGACGTATGTTTTACTGTTTACCTGTGCTGTAACTAGAGCTGTGCATTTAGAACTTACAGCTGATTTTTCCACAGAAAATTTTTGCTTGCATTTAGACGGTTTGTGCTGAATAGTGTATACCGATCACGCCAAAACCTTTAAAAGAGCGAAAAAAGAATTAGAGCTACTGAACGAAGTGATGAAAAGCAATAAAGTTCAAGACGAGTTCTCTAAGCAAGGAATCAAATGGAAATTTATAGTTGAGAGGGCGGTATGGTAGGGAGGCTTTTGGGAGTGTATGGTTCAGTATATGAACGCTCTTCTGAAGAGAATCCTAGGCAAATCATCCTTGACATTCAGGGAATTAAGACATCGTACAGAAGTGGAAGCTATATTGAACTCCAGCTTTAACATTTACATACTCAATCTAGGAGAGCCAGAATCTTTGACCCCTGGTCACTTCTATAGGAAGACGTTACTGTCATGCCGCAAGGAAGCTCTAATTAACTTCACAAAAGAGGTCTTACACGCGATTTAGACATCAACAGTACTGGTAGAAAGAATCTGCGAAATGGAGGCAGGATTATTTCATGAATTTAAATCTGCTCATCATCAAACTGGCGAAAACAGAACCTTTAAGAAGGACTATTGTATTAGTGCATGAAGATAAAATTCCAAGGCTGATGTGGAAGATGGCCATCATAATGGAAATCTTTCCTGGAAGGGATGGCAAGGTGAGAGCCTGTGCCGTCTGCTTGCCCAATGGCCATACAATTAAAAGATCAGTGCAACTACTATATCCAGTGGAGCTGGAATATAATAAGGACAATTACAGCAATTGTCCTTCCGGGCTGGAGGATGTTGCAACTCAACTTTTGTTGAGATCTGATGGCTGAGTGACCTCATATTGAACTATGAACTCTCGTTTAGAGATTGCTCAAGAGCTCAGAACGGAGAAGCCGCACACTGCGTTGTGCCACATTTAAACACTTTTCATTATGTAAATATTCTGTAACCCGTTTGCATCTTCATTAAATATGTTTGTGTAAAGAAAGTATTTATCATTTATGGATTATTTCCTCAAGATTTTGCAGATGAGCACAGAGAATCACCGTGGCCCCCGGCAAAACCCATTGGAACAAGGTAAGCAGTTTTGTTTTACCTTGATTAATTAGTTAGAAGTAACAATAACGTTAGGAAAATAAATAATAATAGGCTGAATTAAAGGACAAGGCCAAAAATAGATTCCAGATGCTTCGATGAACTTTACAGGTGCTGGAAAAAGTGTGTTGTTCCACAAGGGTCTTATTTCGAAGGAGGATGTGTTTTTGTAATTTAATCCATAACATTTTTTACGTTATAGACTTTTGAATCCTACCTCATATATATGTAGTTCTAGAGTATTATTTTAGTAGTTTTACATCATGCAACAGCACTCATTCAAATGTAAACTATAAAAGTATGAAAAAACATGAAATATAAAAAACTGAAACAACACTTTTCAAATAAAAATGCCTTGCCAGACAAGCAAACTTCGCTGAATTGTGGGTGAATTGTTACAGAAGGTGGATCATTGAGAAGAAAAATTCTGTTTTCCAGTAAATGTCTACACGTCTGAATGTAAACGGCTGATGGTGGTCGAGGTAGTTTAAGTTGCCATCTTAACATAGTGAGCAGCTCTTCTAATATCAGTAGTGCCATGTCTATCAGGTTAAAGGCCTTAGTTCATCCCTTCATTTTAAATTTCTTTTGGATGTCTAATCTATTTTAAGGGTAAATAAACAATGCACACTAATGGTGACCAACAAGCAAATAAACAAACTGTACAAATATTGCTTTAAGGTAAGAATTATAGGTAAGGAAAAGGAGGAATTGTTTAATGGAGTCTTTATTTCTAATTAGCAGGTCTCAGTTTGATTGTTAAAGTTTTGGGCCACAAACATAACCACGAATTTATGCAAGTTAAGGGATAACAGTATAGAATTTAATCTCAGCATGTATCATTTATAGTACCTTTCACAAAGACTTTCAAATATTTTTCTAGTTAGAATTACTAAAGATTTGGAAGCATTTTACTTTAGTTAAATGATAAATGCCATCCATGTGACTAACTACTTACATCTTATGCACTGCTATTCAGAAAAAAATATGGCTTAAAAAAGACATATGTTACAACAAAGATATTTATTGGATAGAATACATATGATGTAAGGTACGAATGATTAAAATTTTAAACTAAGTAAGAATATACTAAATTTAGTACTTTGCTTGCTCTCTTTCAACACTTAAAACTAATCATGCATTGTGCGCTAGTGATCGATACAGATTTGGGATAGACAGCTGTGAAATGCCCTTCGATGACGATTGAATACATATCCACAACTTATAGCTCAATTATGTGTAATTACATATGGTTCATGAAGGAAAAATTTCTCGTGTTATATGGGGGAAAAATTGGGTACCACATAATCCAGAAATGTGTTGAACACTAAGCACATAAACAACATTGAATAAAACATGCAACAAGGGCAGAACCATTGGAATTTACATCAAAATGGTTCTGTGCAAATGTTAATATTTCTTTTTTCAATGAATGAAATGTAATAGCACCCTACATCATGACACTGATGGCAAAGCTGATCCACTGCAATAAAACTATCCAAATGGTGTTTCCCATAGCACCAGCAAAAGAATGTAACACCATCGTGAGTTCCAGATTATACCTTATCTCATTGAGGATGATGATTTTCTCCTAACTCATGATACCAGGCTCTTTGCTATCTATGAGCAGTTTCAACCTATGGAACCCCTCTTAGAGGTACATAATGGCTTAAGGGATATGCAGAAACAATTATCATTAATGTCATATTACGAAGTGTTATAATTAATGCTTAGAATTTTTCACTGAATAAACAGAAATTGTGACGATATCCAATGTGATTGTTACCAAATGAAGCGTAATTGCCCACACGAATGATATTACTTGATTCCTTATACATGACATGCAACCAGCCTCTTTTCTGTAATCTCACTGCATACCATGCCAAACAATAAGAATTCAACCATACTTTCAGTACTGAATGTACTGCTAATTTAAGTCGTTCTTTATATTTACAGCAATGCCATTCAAAACCAGCTTGAGTGTGAAGGTTTGTTTTAAATTATTTTTACACTTTTAGAGTTATTAAACTTAATGCTACATACATAAAATTAGATGAATAATTAAAAGTAGGTCTTAATATGGATAATAGCTTTGATTTGGTGTCCACACCAAGCATTTCCAAGGAATCAGCAGGAGGGCTACAATTTGAGGGTAAACACTGTTACTTTGGTAAAAGCTACGCCAGCCACTAATAAGGAAATTCCAAGCAGCAGTAGTCTCCAGAAGAAAAAGTATTCTGATGAATACTTAAAAGATTTTATTCACTGAAGATAAGGACAGCCTTAATCCTCTTTGTGTAATTATGTTACAAAGTTTCATCAAATGAAAGAGAATAAAACTTTTGCTGTTGCATCAATCAAAAATGAAATATTCAACAAAAAGGAATAAACTTTTTTTCAGCACCTATCTAAAGATTCTAACATAAAAATCTTACCTATTATTAGCTAATAAAGATCAAATAAATGCAGTTGAAGCATCGAACAGAAAGAGTTACCATATAGCTAAAAGTGGTAAAATCTTACAATTGCTAAAAATTGATAGATGCATGTATTAAAAATGCTTTTTACTGTATGTCTGGAGAAAAATATGTTTGAAAAATGAACAGAATTCAATTCTCAAAAGAGAACAACGATTGAGAGAATAATGATTGCCGATAGGATTGATGAGAGAACCATGTATCGATTTCACAATATTTCTTTTTAGTGCAAGATAGATAAATAATAAAAATTTAGTGGAAACTCTCTTACTGTGCTACCATCTCAGAGGAAGATGTGAAATGAAGGACATCATTAAAGATTATTTTTGAGAAAAAGATACTGACTGAGCCAATTGCTGCAATGTTATGTCTTTTTAAATGACCAGCAGGCACAAAATTCAAAGTACACAAGTGAAAAAAAGCGATTTTTTAAACTATTCCATTGATAAAAACTCAAAATTTCTATTAAATACTTTATCTAAATAACAAAAAACATGCATTAATAATATTTTTTGTAGATCGTATTGAAATTGCATTTTAACCATCAAATCATAGTTCACTGAGATAGCCTGCATCAAAGCAAATAATATCCCAAAACTCTTACTTCTCAAGAGATGTTTGAAAATTATGGAAGTTATCAAGAATAGTTCGATCAGCAACGTGCAATGATCCACATATCACAGCAAGTGTTGTATCAGGTTTCTCAGCCTACAAGATAAATAATTTAAGAATATATAAGTTTTGAATAAAAATTCAAAATGAAAAGTACAATAAAAATTCAATACAAATTTCTTAGTTCTTTAAACCAGAAACAAATGTAGAAATGAAATATCTAATTTCATTACAAAATATCCAGTTTCTTTAAAAATAACATTTACATTTCAGAAACTTATAACATTGTTTACAAAATGGCAAGATTATCTTACCTCACATATTACTACACCCGAAAATTAGTAAATGAAGTAAACATACCTTAACTTTTTCAGCAATTAAATGGTCAAGCCAACTTGTATTTATGTTATTCCTCTGAAAGTCATCAGTCTCCAGTAGTGTTATCAAATATTCAACAGTAGTTCTAAAATCGCCTCTAATAGATAACTCTTTAAGTGCAACAACAAGATTTCTGTAACAGAAAATATTTAAATAAAATATTCACTACAGTTATTCAACAAATGATGTTTTAGATAAGAATGAATCAAAAAGCTACTTACTCACGAGCTTCTTCTCGATTTTCTCCCCAAGAGAAACAATGTCCAAACTGTGAATCAGCAAATTCATGTAGTCCACCAGAAGCAGTCACACTAAAATAACCCCAAACATTTTTATTACTTCTGAAATTTAGTTCTTGAACAGTTCCAGCACTTGGCTTAAATCCTTCATCGGGATTCTCACTAGTAATTCGAGCTGCAATTACATGTCCCCACGGACGAGGTTTATGTGGTGGATTATCAAAATCAATGGGAGAATCACTCCACGGATTTTCTTTGTATAGCATTCTTATATCTTTTATCCTATGCAAAGGTATACCCATAGCTATCTAAATAAAATTCAAAATTTAAGAGTATTAGATATATAAAATTGCAAATTACATTAAAGACATTAAAGACAGTCACAGTTTATATCCATGCATTCAAGCAATAGCAATTTAGACTGAAGAATAGTAACAGAAAATGAATTATAGAATTCTACTGAGTAAGGTATTATAAAAAAAAAGGTAAAGTATGAATTTTACAAAAAACAAAATATAATAAAAGTTTCACCAAAGTTTGGTTTCTTTTCCAATTTTAATGAAATCACTTAGTAAAAAAACTTACCTGCAGTTGACAAGCTGGGAGATTTACATCAGCAACCATTTCTGTACACGGATGCTCAACCTATATATAAATTCAACACAATAATTTAAAATATATATATAATAAATTAAAAAGGTAACAAAAAAGCTCTTGCTGTTTTTGATGTCTTATTTGAAACATGAGTTACATACCAGAAGAGCCGATGAAGGGTTAGCATGACCACTGACCTGCAACTAATACAGGCACATTACAGCAATCCCCTCTCATCCGGATATAGTGAAGCAGCTCATTTTCAGTTATTTGTTGTGCAACTTTAAGCCAGTAATTGCATTAACTCACTGAATATGTTAAGCATTTTGGAAGGATGTCATGAGTGAATGCAAAGCCCTTGTGATGAACCCTGCTGTCTTTCATGAGTGTTGGATCACAAGGCCATGAAGGCTGCCACAAATGAGTGGTGAATTTTCTGAATGTTTTCTGACTTCTGAGGAAACAGATTTCATTCGCACCACATAGGAAAAGTGTACAAATTGAGCAAGTTGTACACGTTGCCGACAAGGTATGCGATGCACAGCCTCTTTTTCATTACTGTCACAACACCGAAACACACACATATTTGGTCAAGTGCTCATGATTGACAAAAAGTGAGTTCGATATCAGGCACTGGTTGCCACCATGACACTGTGCTTGAAACCTCAAGACCATCACTGCACTCATGTAAGATCATACTCTGTGTCTGGTGGACTAATCACCAAGTGGCACACTGAAAGCTACACTCAACAGGCCATGCTATCATGCAGACCTGCAGCAGTTGCAATGGGTACAACATGCATTACAGAAGTAGTAGCCAGTATTAATTAATCACTATGTGCTGTACCTTCGCAACTATTCAAGACCACACATTGCAATGATGATCAGGTATACTATTTAGCAACTTGGCTACAATACCTGTGCTCACTGGACTTAACACCCACAAACTGTCACCTGTTCTATTCTCTGGACAACCATCCCTTTGAGAAATCCTCTGACAAAAAGGCAGACTTGAAACATGCTCTCATAGACTTCGCATCCAAGACCTCCCCCACCCAAATTGTGTTGCCAGGAGATTGCACAGCTGCATAAATATTGACAAAGTATGCTCGATATTGATGGAGATAACTCCAAGGTCTAACACTGTCCAAACTAGACTGAGTACTATGCGCTGTATGTCTGTATGTTTCTGATGATCACAAATGGCAAGAACTTCTTTGATTACCTTGTATTAAAAATAATTTTTATGAACTAAATTTTGTCATCACAAGGCATACCTAGAAATATAATAATGACAAGTAAACTTCACCTGTAACCTTGGATTTAGCTCTAAAAAGTAAAAACTTCCATCATCTTCATAAAGGTACTCCACAGTACCAGTACTAACGTAGCCTACCATCTTTGCTAAACGTACAGCTGCCTAAAATTAGAAAAATTAATCACTATTAAATATTTTTAAGAACATGTTTTACCTCCCAATTATGTAATAAAAATAGCTTAATTACACAATTCAGTAGAAAGTTCCGAGATCCGGACTAGTGTGGACTTCGGCGATTCAGGATTTGGGAATTTTCTGGATATTAGACAATTTTAAATCTACTATGATGGAATGTAGAAATTATAAAATTAAAAATATGAAATCATGATTTATGAAATAATAAAGCATTTATGATCTACAGGGTATCAAAATTTACAAAAAATAAAAAAAAGAGCTTAATATTTATATATTTACTTTATTAAATATTTCTTTCAATGCAAGTTGTTTAAGTTGCTTTGCTTTTTGTCCTAATACTTTCTATTTAATTCTATAGACATATAACTTCTTGTTCAGTTACAAAGTTCCATTGTTCAAGATCTGTAATCGCCACATCGAGAATCCAGACTAACTTGTTAATCTACATTTTTTCTTTTTCATTAACCTCTCTGCCACTTTTTTCACTATCGGTAGCAGTATTTTCTGGATCTAGAACCATGCTACAGATTTTCACATATTACAGATCATGCATTGATAAACATATGGCGATGAAAGCAAAATATAATAAATAATGGTTTGTCAGGTTGACGGCAAGGATATAAAATATTAGTTGGTGTATAATCAACGTTTCTGTTTAGAATGTTCGGTTTGAGAGGTATGCCAAGCAGATACGCACTTACGGAGTCAAATTATTGATTACAAAAATTTATGATAAAATGATTATTTCTTCAATAATGAGACATTTTATTTAGTGCTGAAGTGAGAATCAGGACTCTCTGAACGTTTTATTATGAGGAGGGGGAAAAATCAAATATGCATGCGCAAAGCATACCCCTAAAAAAATTGGTTGGTAGTGACATTGAGGTCCAGATTTTAGGCATCCAAATCTTGGACTTTGTACCAAACATAGCATTAGAAACATGCTTGACAATTAAATTAATTGTATAATGGCTCAACATTTTATTTGTAAATTCTTAATAATTATGGATTATTAAGAGATGTCACTGATTTATAATTTGTTGGGGGAGGGGGTCACAGTTTTGAGGTAAGCAAATCCTATTCCCAGACATGTGTTTTATTGAAAATTCTATACCCTTATGTATTTTATATGAGGATGTAAGACTGATTCTGTTTCAGTTTCGTTCAAGATATTTATCATTACATAGTATCTTCAGAATTTTGTCTACTGCTTTATTTAATAATTTTGCACTTTCAATTAAATACTACTGAAATTTGTCAAGAAAGAATTTTGTAATTTCAATCTGCAAAAATACACGAATTTAATATTGATTTAATGATGCTTCAGAAGTCCTTAAGACTTCTGAAAAGTGGAAAGATGTGATAACATAATGAATATAATAAGCTGATGAAATTAAGTCACACATTCTCTATGCTACCAGAAACGAGAAGTCGATTCCTCAAATCAACAATAAGATACACTGCAGTATGATGAAAAAAACTGAATTTACCACATTTCTAATGTCAATAAATAAAATAGCAACTTTATTGCTTTCAGACTCAGCTTCGTACACAATTTACCTTTTCCATTTGCTCAAAAACATTAGGTTTAGCTATAACACAAGGAGCTTCTTCAATAATCTTCTGATGTCGCCTTTGTATGGAACAGTCTCTTCCAAACAATGACAAGGCATTACCATACGAATCAGCAACTAACTGCACTTCTAAATGCCGAGCACAAGTTGCCATTTTCATAATAAAAACAGGTGACCCTGGAACCTCAGTTTGGACCTTTAAAAGGAATATATTTAATATTAAAAACATGTCAGATAATGAAAATGTTTTACATGATTTTATAATAAATAATATAAGATGGTTAATTTGAACTAAGTCAAATATTTCACTATTTTTAAATTATTATTTTGTAAAAATTAACATTCGTCCTAAAAGCAGATTTAAATATATAAATTCTGTTGTATTTTTACCAAGTAATATTTTATACAATTATTGAATATAAATAATGGCAACACATTTAAACATGACAAAACATTTATTCACTGAAATAATGCTATATCTTTTCAGTATAATTTCTAAAATGATAACTTTTCCTAGATAATGCTGTTTGTCATTTGATAAACCATTTTTGATTATATTGGCAAATAAAAGCCATACAGCTTGAAGGATTCATTTAATTGTATGAAAATATGTTTTATCTGTAGTTCTTAGTTTTGTAGTGATCAAACATGCATGGACTAAAACATCAGTAGAATGAGCATATGGTGGTTCACCGAGAATATCCAACTGCTATTCTAACACTTGTAAATTTTTTTATAGGAGTAGAAGTGCCAAATCAAGCACTGTTATGCAAGATAAAAGATGTACTCAATTTGAAATTGCACTACATCCAACTTCAGATGACTTAATATTGCTCAATGGTTATCATTTTATTGTACAATTTAACACTGAAACAATTACTTGAAAACTTTTGTTTAATACTTGCTCCATATATTAAAATTAAAACATATTTCAGGACAGAAGTAATACTTTACTTTCACATTGTGATATCAGGAACTGTATAATACAACATCACAGTTTGAGCATTATATATTATTACCGTCATTATTTGCACGATTCCTGGTTCTGAGTGAATTTTTCCCCAAGGAAATGGATAGGTATTTCAGCTTGCCAGACTCTTGCTTTAGTTCAAATTTGTATAATCTGTTCCTTGTTTTCAGACAGATAATTTGACAGAATGCACCACTGCTGCCTCTTATACTGTTCCATGCACTCACTAGCATGAATATAATGGCACTATATTAAAGCTTTCGAACAGTAACAAAACACCACTGTACAGCAACTTTACAACTACCATTTATGACTACAGAGCAGGCAAAACCGTTTTGGGGAAAATCTACCTCTGTAGCTAACTCTTATTGTCTGCTGACAATTTTATATTCAGCAAAATTAAATTGCAATCATGTATAGATTTTGAATGGAAGGCCATTCTAATTGTGCACATCATCCACTCTGTTTTCACCATCTTTGAATGCTATCAGCAACCATGTCCCTATTTGATACTGTAATATTTAACTGCCAACTGCTTTCCAAAACCCTGATAATATTTTGCAGCATTCCTTCCATAAATCATTTCAATTTTAGCATATATATTTCTGAAACAAGAAAATTATTTCCTTAGGATGCTTTTGTTCAACATTTCACACTCTTCTTTCCTCAAACCATGCACATACTGCAACAAGGTACAGAGAACAGCAACAGCCTTACTTGACAAGTACCAGCAAGCAAAATGCCGCACGTATGCCTAAGCAGTACAGAGATAGTGTTACCATTATTGTATATTCAACATTTATACATTTAATAAAAGGCCTATATTTATTCAGCACTAGAAATACATCAGCATAAATAGCATTACATTAGAAAGACAAACATTAACACAATTCCATAAATATTAAAATGAATTACTTGACGAAACTGAGTCGGAAAATCATCTATGCTAACTGCTTTTCTTATGCCTTTGCCACCTCCCCCTTCAGATGCTTTAATCATTACAGGAAATCCTATTTCTTGAGCTATCTAATGGAATATATATAAAATATTAAAAAAACAAAAATTCAATATCAATAAAAGGTAATTTTCTATTCAAATAGTCTGTAGAGACATTAGCTTGTTTCAAAGCAGAAGCAAAAAATGTGAAATGCCCTCGCCGGTGCTTGAACTATGGAATTCTCGAATACACGGCGAGCGCGCTGGCCATTACACCACGAAGGCATGCTACGAAAGCGGGAGAAATACCTCATAAGTCTTTTCTAAAACTATTTGGGCACAAATTAATTTTTTACTCTCGTTTTTCTACTTGAAACAGTAGTACAAAAATATAAAGACAATGGTTCACAGTATGTATGTATCTGCAGAAAAAAAACTGTTCATGAAAACTGCAACCTCATGATGTAGTAATGAGAACTCTACATCAATTACAGGGTGGTTATGTTGTTAAAATACACTATGCAAATTCATCATTCAAGAAATAAGTACTCAACTGTGCAAACTGTCTTCTGAAAACCATAAGGTTTTTATATACTGCTCAATGATTTATCAAAGCATATAAATATAATTTATCACTTGTTTTGTTGTTATCTTTGAGAGAAATTGTATTTAATATGTTTTCCTCAGGGTACGCTATTTAGATTATTTCTTAATTTCCTTAGAGAAAACTTATAAACAAATAAAGCTCATATAGTCCATGCTACTTAATATACAAGCCATTTATTTACTTAGTGATTTGAAAATATCTTTAAAATATTAGGGTCATTCATATATATGAAGTTATATTGTATTCAGACCAGTACGATATTTTATTTTACTAGAAATGTAGCCTTGACATACAGCTTATATGATGAATGCTCACTGAAAGAAATTTAGTTAAGCTTTAGCAAAGGAACTTGGCAAACACTTTCAACAATTGTCAAAGTGCCACAGAATGTATCTGCCAAAATAAATTTATATTAGAATAATACCTGAATCCATTTTTTAATTATTAATAATAAAAACCTTAAAATTTTAAGCAATGAAGAGGTCACCTTGTAATCTTCAATGATTAAACTGTTAGCAAAATGTAATCATAAATTTATTAGAAGGGTTTAACCTGAAATAAACTTACATAATTAGAAAATTAAATGTAAATATGATTTGAGAATAATATATATTCATAAAATTGGAACACAAGGGAAAAATCTCTCACAAATTCTTTTTGACCACATACATTAAAAATATTTTCCCAAAATATTTCTCTTTTACTTTTTTTACAAATACTGTAATTAATTTTCATGCAAAGAATACAAGTTTAATTTTTTACCATCGTCAAAATGATTGGTTGAAGAAGCTGTGAATTTAAAATATTTTATGTAGTTTCTGTTAATGATGCATTCGTCATATATCCTGAATAAGCTAATATATAGCATAAATGTTAATAGCAGCTTCCCCTTGTCAATCAACGTCATGTGAAGATAACATATTGAGAGAAACTAATTTTACTCGCTAAATTTAGCAAAGGAAGAGATTTTCTTAATTGTATTGAGATAAAACTTCACCCCTTGAGGTAATTTGGACCAAAGTAGTTTGCTGTTTCTGCAAGACTGATTGAGTATACATGATTATTTTTAATGTGGGTTCCTGAAAAAGCGATGCCATTCAGGGGCGATAGATTAATGCCTAAGTTTTTATATGTACAAATGCATCTTATGTACCATATAATGTATGGCAGTTTACTGCCACTTCTTTTAATATTCTAGGGTTCATAAAAGAGATTTAAGTACAGAAAAATATGAATGTACCTTCAGTCCCTCGTCGACATCTGACACACATCCTTTTTTGTACAATTCAGGACGTATCTTTATTTTATTATTAACATTGTTCCACTCAGCTATGAGCCCTTGAAAGAGAAACATAAATATTTTAGATGCAAATACTCTGACATTACAATGTTTAAAATTCAGCTTCAGTGATTTTCAAGTAAACAAACCATTCAGTGTAGTATAAAATAAATATACAACATGTGCAATATACATAATAATAAAAAAATAACATCAAAAAAGTTTTCATAAGTTTATTAGCTCTTTTTAAAGAAATAAAATGAACTTTCCTATCCAGAAAAGAAAAATAATTTCTACAGTATTTAGCCACAGACATCAAGTAACTATATCATTAATATACACATAAAAAGCTCACAGCAATTTTTATAGCAAAACTACTCTCTTAGTAGAAGCTCTTAACATTATATTGGTAGACTCATAAAACAAGCTATTAGATAAAGATTACTAATGTAATTTGAAGTCAAGAGGTAACAGCATTTATAATGCAATTACATTAACTATACTGATACAAAAAAAAAAAATCCAAAATACATTTTAATTCACATATGCAGAATTTACTAACAAAATAAAATGAGAAGAAACCCAGAAAAGGAGCTTTTCTTGATAAAAGGATGAAACATGTCAAACTGTATCAAACAGGATGATACCATATCAAACTGCTTTCATTGGTATGGTTTGCATGCAAAGAGACTTGTTGTTAGTGTTCTCTTAACTGTAACACAACACAGGACAGGGGAAACTGAGCATATGAACATCGCAGTTAGGTACTACAGAGTGGTATGAAGCTATTTTTATAGCCAGATAACTGTCATATCTTCAAATTTTCTAAAGTCATATGTCTGTAGAAATACATTGACACATGCAATGCAATATTTTCAAAAAGATTACTACATCATATGCAATTCTTCAAGCTAGTGACTGATCCTATAATTTTTTTTATAGTAAGAGTATACTATATAGAGACTATAAGAATATATAGAGACTATATATATATACTATAAGAGTATACATATATAGAGAAAAATAGAGCAAAGAATTATTGTACGATATATATGTATATATGAGCTGATTTTATTATTTATACATATACATACACACACACACACCATGTATTACATGTATCCCAATAGTAACAAATGTCAATACTACATTTAAGCATTTTATAATTATGGATCCTGCCAAACTCTATTTTTTCCTTCCAAGTGGTATCGATCTGATTACAGCAGTTTATCTTTCGGGATAATTTTTTTGCATGAAGAATGCATAAACTGTAGCAGAGTTTGCTATTGTGGTTCAGCAAAACCTTTTTAAGATGAAGCTTTGAGTAAACTGCATGTGTACAAGTGATCTTCCAGATTAAAAAAATTGAGACACGTCAAATGAAGACTTATCAGTTTCCCATCCACTGATGAGCAGAAATGAGTAAGAAACTAAGATCATTATAGAAAACATTTCTGAAGAAACATTGTCCGTCTGAAAATTCTTAAGAGAGAACATTATGCTTGTATCTCACTTACATCATTCATCAAATCATCATCTTTCTCAGAGTGACACTTTTCCTATTTCCACTGGTAAAGAAAGCTTCCAGAAAACAATCTAGTATTCTAAGAAAAAAAGCAATTCAGTGATATGAATGCCACACAAGAAATCCATGTTTCTTCTAGTTGACAGAAGTTGAGAAAAGTGTATCAATGCAGGTGGCAAACACACTAAAGGGGACTAAAATGCTTTAAAAAATCCTGTTGTTTGTTAGTATCCCCTCGCATGTATGTATATGATATATTGTAACCCCACAGTTCAATGAGCACCATCTAGTGGCCGCTGGAACAAACACCAGGGAAAAAAATCAAAAAAGACTAGCCTACAGTCAATGTGCGGAAGTTGCATGCTGTTTCCCCGAGATGTTGTTCCCCGAAATTTACTTTGTAACTTAAATGTGTAATTATAATGCCCTTAATTGTAATGTTTTATCTTTAACTGTTTTTGTTAATTAAAACTATTTAAAAAGGCCAAGTGAGTCTTTGTTTATGGTAGTTTTGGTTATAGTTGGCTACACCACACGTGGCTCGAATGATTTATCCAATTGAGAAAAAAAAAAACATGCTCAAGACTCCAGGACATCAACTCGTATTCTTTTCCAGGTTTTAGGTATACTGCTTCCACCAGTGAAGATTTATTTGGAAACTGCACGACGAAGTATCAGCTTCATCTTCACCCAAAGGTTATTTTGGACGTTACATGGTTTTATCTTCACCCGAAGATAACAAATACGATATCTTCACTTAATAAGCATTTAACTTAATAAGATAACAGATTTTCACTTAATAAGCAATATAAAATTCTAACTATAATGTCGTTAATACGTCAATAATTTATAATATTAAATATGGAATAAAATGCGTCATTAAAAACGAAACAGAACCATTATATAAAATATATATAAGCTCTAGGTATTTCCTTTTAGATATACTGCACTTTAAGAATTTATATTGTCTTAACATTGTTTTAAATAACTGATTTTTATTTGAATTTCCTGTGTTTTAATTCTATGTTCTAATGGAAGATTAATTTTGATTTCAATGGAAGTCAACACAAGTTAAATTTCGTTTCGGCTCTGAACGAAAAGTGCTTACGTAGCAAAATATTATTTTTATTCTGATTGATAAATGTTTCCGGTGTGCATAATTCTTTTAGTATTTTTATAACTGTATTGCTATCTATGAATGAGTTGTGTGTTTTGTTTTATTTTATTTTATGAATAATATTAACAGATATTTTCTTTTCCTCTTTGAGAATAGAAATGATTAAAAAGTGAAGAGTTTTATATCGTATATTATTTAAACGGTGCCACTAATGTTTTGTTTTTATTCAATAAGAATACTTCTTTTGAATTAATGTTTTATTTACCGTTATTCTAATATTTGCTACATTTTTTAATTGTGAGTTTATAAAAATTTTTAATTATTATTTTGTAATATTTCAGAACAACTTATATGTCTAATTGTGTTTTACAAAGAGAACCATAGTCGAAAATTAATTTCTTAAAGCATTTAAGGATTTTGTAGACATCACAGGCATAACTAATAGAAGATTTATCAAAGTTAAATTCTATTTTTGTATTCTTATGTTTACTAAATTTGTGTATTTTATTGTCCATTTGGCAAGTGTACCAATCCTTGTAAAATGTTAGCTTCGTTTTCGAAGTAATCTCAGATCAATGATATTTTCGATGTTGTTTTTCAAATATTATGTAATTGTTAGGGGTAATAAAGAAACTCATAAAATTTCTGAACATATAATTTTTCTTCAAACAAATATTGAACTTTTCAACGGACATTGAAAGTACGATAAAATGCATTTTTGGGACTAACCAGAAAAAGGATCTGCAAGTGTTAGCCACAAAACCCAGTCTGCCCTTCTCAGATAATTTAAAAGTGATTCAACTCAAAGAGCTACTTATGCACGTAAAAAAATATATATATATATATCCATAAATTTCTAATTACGCTAAAAATTTGAAACATCCACTTGAATGAATCTTCGAAGTGACGAAGGTAAACATCTACATACAAAACAGCGTACTCAAGCAAATCCCTTATTGCAAAAATTCAAGAGAACTGCTTGGAAGCAGGAGGAGATTCAACCCCATGTAATGAAAGTTTAAAGAGAATCATCCTGATTCTATGGAGGTTTCAGTGAATCATCCTGATTCCATGATGTATGAAGAGAAACATCCTGATTCTATGCTGCATGATGAATCATCCCGATTCAATGAAAGTATGAAGAGAATCATCCTGATTATGTGTTGTGTGATGAATCATCCCGATTCAATGAAGTTTGAAAAGAGTCATCCTGATTCTATGCTGTACCATGAATTATCCTGATTCAATGGAACATGAAGGGAATCATTCAGATTCTATGTTGCTGATGAATCATCCCGATTTAATGAAGAGTATGGAAAGCACAAAAATATATTATGATCATCAACGTCTTACGAACGAGGTGATAGAGTATAGGAGACGAGGCAGACCACACCAACATGATTTCTGGCTCTTTGCCGAGACATCGTACAAGCCAGAGGGCGAGTCTGCAACCCCACGGTTCAATGAGCGCCACCTAGCGGCCACCGAAATAAACACCAGCAAAAAAAAAAAGGCTCCAGCCTTCAGTCAATGTGCGGGAGTCATGAACTAAGCATGATATTTCCCCAAAAGATGAAACACCTTTGCATTTATTAATTATTGTTAATTGATCGGAAGGTTGGTTTCTTCCCCTTGAAAAGTGAAAGAATTTCTGGTGAATGACGACAATTACTTGGTTTACTGATTACATTTTAATTTTAATTATACCTTTTTAAAAGTTTCCATTTTCAATTTATTAATTCATATTTGATGTTTCGATTTTAAAAAACTTTCAAGATTCATTTTTTAAACATGCTTATAATTTACTTCATTCCACTAAAATTCTAACTACCCTTATCAAAGGAGATAATATACTAAATAATCCATTACTAAATAAATTATTTTATATATAAAAAAAACACCATATGTATGCAGAGTGGTAAGGAAACTATTTTTCTCTGAATAACTGGTGAATAGAATCAGCTACAGCTATAAATGTTATGTCTGGCTATAATAAAGGGGTATACCCAACAGAATGAAACCACTTGTAGTTCCTCTTATATGCAAAATTCACAGCTTATCAATACTATCTCAAAAACCATAAGCAATACCGTAAAAATTCAGTTACCAAGTTGTACAGCATTGTCGATTCATTGTTGATAAGACATATTTCGAATACACATATGATAAATACCTCTCAGTATAACATAAAATGTTCAAAAATAATGGATGGCATTTTATTGCAATATTTAAAGAATATAGATGCAGATATGAGCACAAATATATAGTTTAATGGGTAAACATATATTATGTCAACACAGCTAGATTGCATCAGATGATAAAACAAAGGATGCAAATGTACTTGGAAGGTTTATAAATTAATGTGGAACATGTTTGAAGAGGATACTATTTATTAGAATGCACATTTATATCTAAAAGGTTATCGCTACAAACACATTTATGGCTACCAGAAGTCACATTACTGCCTTCATTAGTGATATGACATCACAGATCTAGAAAACTATAGTCCATAAGCTTAAAATAGGCATTCCAAGGCCACTGTCAGCCCCCCATTGGTAATTGTAACTCAAGTCATCATCAATGCATATAATATCATTTCAGACAGTATTTTTAGTGAGCCTTCATTCATGCAACATTTATGAAATAAAATCCACTAAACAGAAATCAAGTGGGGCAAAATTAGAAGGGAGTTGCCTTTTTTCTCTAAAGTTGATGTGAATAACCTTGAAGTTCCTATTTTAAAGTAACATACTAGAGTAGATGACATCATATACACTTGATCTTTCATATAACTCCAAAGACGAAATCCATCTGAATGTTCTTGCGATTGTAAACAGCATTTAAATGTGCCACCATAACTGATATTGTCCTAATATACCTTAATACCTATAAATAATACCTAATATATGTATTTGCTTTGATATATAATTGCACTTGGATACTCTTAAAAAAATTCCCATTTTGCTTTAAGAGAAAATTCATATTTCATGAAAACAAAGCCGTTTTTGGATATCTTTGGCTGTACAGGCAAAGATTTATCACATCCATATGTACAATATCTTTGCATACAATATCAGTGATGATCTACAATTTTGTAGCTTTTTTTCCCAGCAATTTTTTAGATGAGTTTTTGATTTTCCATCATAAGAGGTGTTACAACTGATGGAATTCATATAGGAATTATATACATAGCAATAGCTAATGTTGTTTACCAGTTATTTAGAGACAAATGAAATCATAATTTCCAAATTCTGAAATTCTAAAGTTCTATTTCTTCAAACACATTTTCCTTTAAAATATGGCAATACTTAAGTTATCAATATATATTTATACCTAGAAATTTATTACTCTGAATCACAAAAATGTCATATTTTATGAAGTACATTTATTTATTAAAAGCCATACCAGAGCCACTCCATGGTAATGTAGGAATACCTGCAGTTTGAGCTACTATGGAAGATGCTATTTTGTCCCCAAGAGACCACATAGCCTTTTCTGGAGGACCTATCAATTTTAGAACATTTTATTTATAATCCGTCTAATATATATATATATATATATATATGTATATATACTTATATGAACTGCATAAAAGCTAATACAAAAGTTAACATGAAATCTGCATTACCCATAAATGCTATTCCATTTTTATTAAGAAGTTCTGGCAATTTTGGATTCTCTGACGCATGACCCCAACCAGCCCAAACAACCTAAATTATCATTAAAATAAACAAAATTAACTGAAAAAATTAGCACATGAATAGTAAAAAATTAAATGCTTTACAAGTTATAAACTTTAAATGACATAATTGCTGTGTCAGCAAATGTGGTATTTTCGAGATATGTATATAATATAGATAATTATTAAATGAGAAATTATTTCAAAATAAAAGCAAAGATATGATTGATAAATGTGTATATAATATAAAATCCATAAACTGCATATAATATCTTTATATTCTTAAAAGTTCATATAATATATAGTGTTATTTCTCTTCATTTAACTCTTATAACTCTTCTTTAACTTTTCTCTCCATTTAACTCTTTTAGTTTGCAGATTTTTGACTAGCATATATAGTTTAAATATAAAACTAAAAATTAAAGTCACATGCATAAAACTATTTCAGCTTGCACAGTTCCATCAAAGCTTTGCAGAAATCTTGTAGTGCATATGCATATCTGTTAGCTCATTGCTGATAATATCTCAACAGAAGCTTTACTTTTCCAGCTTATTTGAAGAAGGCCACTACTGGCATAATAATTGACAGTCTGGCAAGCACTGACCTTTGTGGGGGAATACAGAGGAAAGGCAAAAATGAAAAGACTAAAACCTCTTAAAAATTGCATGCTGAGAGAAACAATGCCAAGGTATTAGATACTAGACTGAAACCTACTTGCTTCATAATCTGAAACTTAAGCAGTCTCTGGTTTCACTCTTTTTAAGTGAAACATTTACATTAACAGTACACAAACCCCCAAAAAAATCAAAGACCAAAAAAAAAAAAAAAAAAGTAATGGAGAGAAAAAGGAATGAAACAGAATCCTCAAGTTTTAGTCAATGACGTAGGCATGCTCTGTACAAAAGTTCCAATAGAAGAGTTTTTTAAACCAGTTTTTCAAGTGCATGAATACCAATGAATTATGTGTTTAGAAGATTCTTGTTTTCTCATCTAAAACATCATGTCTTAATCTTTAAGACTTCATAAGATACAGTTTCTATGACCAACAGATCAGTTAAACTCATTTTTATGCAAATACTCTTTAAAAAATTCTAGTAGTTAGCACAATGTAAAATGCTTTTTTGGAGGGGGAGGAAAAGGGATACCAGTATAAATTGCAGCCAAGACATTGAAACTTTTCTGCATGTTATATACCTTTCACACATTTGAATGCATAACCCAACAGAAAGATAAATGATTTTGTGTCACTAGTTTTTCATCACATTAGTTTCGTGCCACTAGTCACATTAGTCTTTCATCCGATACTAACTGAATTGGAATGTTTTTATTGTTTATGTTATCTATTCTGTATTTCTAAAGTGTTTTTCTGTGCTCCATATTTTTTAATCAAAACCCAACTTTGCTTTTATGGAAAACTTCAATATAATACACTAAACTTTTATAATTCAGTTACCTGTAGAATGCATTCCTGAAAAATAAAGCATTGTTAAAAAGTGAAGGTGTTGTCTAAGTGGGCATCTGTTTCACTCTTGCTGGATCAGACAGCAAAATCAAGTTGTTAGAAGTAAATCAATCGTGGAGGGGGGGCTGAGAAGTTAGATTATTAATACAGTAACTGAAAAATAATTTAACAGACACAAAAAATTACTACGTACAAAAACCAATCAAATTTTAAATACGAGATATGTATAAATACCCTATTTCACAACATTCCTAATATTTTGCAGTGTTGTAAAATTATGCCATTTGGTCATGCACAAATTAGGTCTTGAGTCATTATTTAATTTAATCTTGTCAAAACTACTTTATCTTTTAAACTTGATAATGCAGTTACTTGTTTATTCTAGATAAGAGAATAAAATTAATTTGGACGTGAACTTTCTGATTGGCACGACTGCTTTTACACAGTTATCAAACGTTCTTCCCATTTAGTGTATTATATTACCTTATTACTTAAAATAATTCGTTTTTAATTTTCGTTAATGATTTAAATATTACCTTAATGAAAGGAAGTTCATGAAAAATATTACAATAATTAATTTTACAAATGTAGTAAATAAATCCTGTTTAAATATAGTTTTTTTATAAGTAGATCCAAAAGCCGTGCCACTAACACGTTTAAGTGAATTTTCTGTTTTATCTTTATTATTTTAAAATTGTTTAGATATTTTATTTCTCTGTCTCGCACTTGTACAATTGAAATAGCATTTTATATAGTCATAAAAAGAAAATCAAAATATAAATGTTACTAAATATTCAAGGTTATCAATACAATGACAAAATAATTTAGACTGGTACACAAATATCATTAAATTAAAAAATATATATAAATTACTAAAAAGTACTTACAAAAATAAGTTGAACATTTCTTGAATAAAGCATTTAATTAATTAAAGTAATTATAATCTACATACCATTTCTTTTTGCATTAAACTTCAAAGATGTACTAAAAAATAAATTGTTCATTTTTGTAATATTAAGCTTTGAAATGGGAAAATAATTTCAGAAACATAACGGAAATTAAATACCCAAGGATTTAAAACCTAAAACTCAGATCAACAGCTAATAATATTAGACGTTTTTCATTCATGAAAACACTCAGCTTTCACGCTAAACATTTTTACTATTCTCTTGAATTTTGTAGTTTCTTCTTTCTACTTGTTATCTCAACAATAATCATAATTAGGGGTGCTAAATTCGATGGAATTAAAGCAATAATCTTACTTTTTTTAATGAAATTCATGATTAAAATATTAAATGAAGCATCAAATATAAACATAAAACTACAATTACAAAACTGCACATTTTAAAATTTTGATCATGTAAAACAATGAACCTGAATCAAAGAAATTAAGAACTTGTTCAACAGTTTATCAAAATATGTAAAATGAAAACTGAATCCAATTTCTTAGCCATCCCATTTATTGCACTAAGGAATCATGTAAAGTACCTTTAATCTCGCATTGATCATGTTATTCTCCAAGATATTTATAAGTATTTTACTGTAAATTGTCATTTTTATTAAAAAACTTACATTTCATAACAATAAATTGCTTTTAAAAACTTGAATAAATCAGGAATCTTTTGAATCATTTTTAAAATTTCAGTATATATACTAATAACAAATGTACCAGAATGTGAAACTCTTTTTAATAACATTTTTCATCACAGCAAACATAATTTTTATGTCAAAAAAAAATCTTAAAAAATCGATATATTTATATACAGAATAAAAAATTCTGAAAGTGAGTAATTTTGTAACTGAAAACAAACCTGCACATTCATTCTTTTTGCAATATCCAATATCAATTCAACATTGGCATAGTTGTTATTGTTTGTTCCACCAGGAACAGGAACATAATGATCAGCAAGTTTGATGTATTCTACATAAAGTACAAGATAATATAAAGTAATGTATTAATAAAAAAAAATTTATTAAATCACTTTAATGTGAAAATAATTACCAGCATTAGCTTTCAGATCTTCAGGTGTCACCATAACAACAAAGCGTATTGCTCTTTCATTTCTAAACATTTCATAAGCCCATCTTCGAATTGAACGCATGCACTTAACAGCAGCAATACCGTTATTTGCAATTAGTACCTTCAAACAGAAAAGAAGAAAAGTAATTTATTATTTTAAGGGGGAAAAATGAGCATTCATAAAAAAATCAATTTTAACACTGAAAAAAAAAACTGGGAGAAATCAAAAAGAACCTGATAGAAGAAACAAAAAAAGAACCTGATAGAAAAAAAACAAATTATGAATTTTCTTTACAATTAAAAAATATTGCAGTTTCTTTACAATTAAAAAATGCAGAAATGTAAATTCATGGAACTAAGTGCAAGTGGTAAAATGATACAAGAGATGCAATCTGCTTTTCATTTGATACATGCAGTCAGGTTAAAACATTGTGGTTTACTTATTGGCATATATAATCTGCACACAATTCTTCATCGTCACATTCTATTCTATTGTAGTCCAATTTTAGGAATTTACTGTAAAAAAAGTCATATTATTGTAAAAATATCACTTTATCATCAATTAAAAAATCCACCAATAATTCTTAGAAAACATGTTTGTCTCCCGCACTTTTTAATAATTTTAATAATTTACACAAAATGAGTTTAGTCATTTCCCATGCTTTTAATAACAACATGCACAAAATAAGTCGTTTCCTACTTAAAATACGTTAAATATATGCATTGCTTATTTTAATACAATAAAACACATTTTGCACATTTTTTAAATTAAGAAAACAAATACAAAATTCCTCATGACCCACGAAGTTTTCCACGAAGCTTACAGATGTAAGTAAGTAACTCACAGTACAAGGAATTCAACAATAAAAACAAAATCTAGGCCTGGAGAGAGCAAAGAAAATTTATATAAAATAAAAATACTAAAATATATCATGAATAATTAAACTATGTTAACACCCCTGTAAAAGAAAATAAAGCAACTTTAATGTAATACAATAATAATAAAAATGAAATAATCATTAAAATTAATACTGATACAAAGGAAAAATGACAAGTACAAAACATCAATACATAATGTAATCATACATGGACAATATATAAAATAATATAATGACACATAAAAGATAAAAATCCAATCATATAAATAATAATACTAAAAGTTCAAAGAACAAATAAAGTCACGCAAGACTTGATCTCGGAACTCCTAACAAGATCATAGAAAACAGGAAGACAGCAAATAGAAAACTGCCCTAAACTCACTTTAAATGCAGTTCTGTCGCATTAATGCAGTCATATGCAACCTACTACAATGCAATTAAATATGTTCCCCACCTTCTACAGCATTGCTGCAAACACAGAGTTCACTAGTAACAATACTGAAATGAAGTAAATTGAGTAAGTTCATCAAAATATGGGTAAGTTTATAATCCGGTTGAAAATGCCTACTCTTAAGTCATTGAAGAACACTTGGGAAAAATCTCTATCGACTAGGGCCTTCGAAGAAGCAAGATATTCAGCATTCCAATCAACTACAGCTCCAAGCCACATGCTTCTAATAAAATATGGGAGCAGACAATATTAAATCAATCATGATACATCGCTTGCTTAGCCAATTGGTCAGACCTCTCATTACCGAGAATACCACTGTGGCCTCAAACATAGGTAAAATGAGCATCTGCAGCATGTCCAATTGCATGTAATATAGAGTGAATTTCTATCACCAATTTTTCAGTCTTTAGTATATTATATAGAAGAGAGAGAAGAAAGTAAATCTGTGCAAATAAGATATTTAAACGTCTCATTTTTATGACAAGAGTTTTGTATCCATTTAACGGCAAGATTTAAGCTCAGAAGCTCGGCTTAAAAAAACAGAACATGCATCTGGTATCCTATATTGAACAGTTACATTCTCCCTATCATTTTCATAAATAACATATGCAAGGCCAGCCTTTCCATTTAACTCACAACCATCTGTGAAAAAACTAATACTATATTCTTGAAAAACACTATTATCATAACTAACAACTATCACAGGTTTTCTGTCTGAAGGGTGAGGTAAATCTGAAAAAGAAAGCATCCTATTCAAGGGATTGCAAGGGTTGTCATTAGGAAGTCTATCTCTAAAATCCAGATCATTTAAGATAATTAAATCAATAGGCAGAAGACCAGAAGTAATGAATGCTACCTCATAACTAACAGTCCTGTAAATACAAATAATATGGAGAAATCTTGCTTTGAGCCCTCCTAAGAAGTTTACAGTTCATTTTCTTCCTAAAAGAATTCCCCCAAGCTCTTGAAACATAGGACATAAGTGGTAGAATGGCTTGACTATAAATCAGTTTAAGAACATCACTTTTGACCCCATGGGTGTTCTTTGAAATTTGTAGTAAACCTAGAATAATGTTTTCACACTTACTGGAAATATAAGAAATATGTTGCTTCCACTGTAATTTGTTGCCCACAATAATTCCTAAATATTTTATCCACTGAACTTCTTCAATAAGCTCACTTCCGAGAGTTAAATCAATCTTATTAGACGATGCTAATTTTTTTGTGTATCAACTTTCAACTTTGAAGGGTTAAATTCAAGCTTGTAGTGCTTTGACCAATCAGAAATATAGTTTAAAATATTCTGAGATTGAGGACTGGAGTCATTAATGTTCTTACATTGTACAATAACAAGTAAATCATCTGCAAAATCGATTTGGTAACTGTTCTGGAATTTTCTCAAATCATTCATAAAAAGATTCCAAATAAAAGGACCAAAAATGGAATACCTGAGGACATCCTTTCTCCAAATCAAATTTTTTCATCATATTATCCAAAGTAATTTCAGCAGAACGAAACTGCAAGAAACTCTTCATTAAATAAAATATATTCTTAGGGACTTAGGGATGCCTAAGGAAATACAGAACACCAGGTCATCATGCATTATCAAATGCACATCTAACATCCAAGAAAATAAGAAAGCTGACATAATTCCTATGCTTTCCCTGAGCAACAATATTACATAATCGAAGCAAAGCATCAATCATCAGCAGACCTTTGAGGAGTAATTCCATACTGATCTTCACTCAAAAGACCAGAATGACCAAGAAAATAGTTAAGTCTATTTACACATGGTTTCTCAAGACACTTGCCTATACATAAAAGTAAACTAATACAATGAAGGCTAGCAATTTTTTTCATTATTTCTATTTTCCAATTAGCTTTCATTCACTTCTTCCAAAAAAAGAAAATTCTCTGCAGTCTTCTGGCTATTGCTTTTCCAATGGCAGAGTAAGATTGTTGATACTGGTATTTGACCCAAGTTCAAACCCTCACGAATAAGATGGCTGCATGGCTAATATAATGAACACGAATACAAGCCATTAATTATGAATTAATAATGAACACGAATACAAGCCAGTTTTCCTTCAAAGTCATCATACATGAAAGTAAGCATCTTTCTTCTTAGGCAGATGGGTCTCATATATTTTGCCTTAGCCATGTAATAAAACCTATCATATTATTTTAAAAAAATATCACCAAATGAAGTAGATTTCATTTCATTACTTCGGTTCACTTTTTGTGTAAAAAGACTGTATGTTGTAAAAATTTTCAAGCTAATGCTTAAATAAGTCTGTCATCAAATCTCTTACATGATTTATTCCCAAATTTTACAAGGTTTTAAAATTTCTTTAAGTACAGTAACGTGTTTTCCTCATTAAATTTTAATTTATTTTTTAACATTATCATAATATACATTACAACCAGTACTTATATTCAGCCAGAACCCTGGGCAAGCCTACTTTTGAGAGAAATTGTAACACAGCCAAAGCTCATTGAAGGCTAAAATCATATGAAGTCCAACAGTTCATTTGTTACAAAATCAGTCTGCAGTATCAATACAAAATTTTCTTATTCGTGTATTTTTTACTGCAGATTCTTGTAATCAAATATTCAATTTAGAAAAAGCAATTTTTTTTTTTTTTTTTTTTTTTTTTTTTTTCATTTATAGATATCGTATTTTTCATGAAACACTTGAACAAACAGCACATTCAATAATTTAAAATGTGTTAAAATTTCATTCAAAATATTTTCTTTTATTCTTTGTACCCTATGTTTACAAGCTTTAATTTATTCACTTTCCAGTTTTACATTGTTATTATGCTTTTTAACATATTTTACTTATTAATGTAATTTATTGTCATCTATATTCATAGCTCATCATATTTAATTTAATTACTCATTATTTATTACAGTATTTATTTTAGTTTTCACATTTATAGAGAAAATTCCATAGAGCCCAGCACATTATATTCTAAAAATTATCATTAATTATAATCAAATATTCTCGGTCATTAAGAAAGTAATCAGAAGCTGAAGGATATAATTGCATTTACACTACTAATTGGATAAATACAAAATGTGAAATATGAAAGCACTTAGTAAAAAAATTCTATTAAATTAATTGCAGGATGAAATTAGTCACATTGCTAATTTCACTTTTTATTCAAAGGACAAAGTCCAGCTATTTTAGCAGAAGCTAAAATTAAAATAGTGATAAAGGGAGGGGGAACAGTATGCAAGAAACACCAGGACTCACACTAAGGACTTTGTGGATGTTAACCAGGCAAATTAACAATCATACCAGATTATCTGGCTCTGATTATTGATGTAAAATAGGGTTTCCCAACCTCTTTCTTGCACCTTTTAAAAGCCTTTTAAAAAGAAGGGTATTTCTTGTTGACCTCCTTACATTTTTTTCCTATGATACACAGCCAACAATATAATCATAATATGAATAAATGAACACAAATAACTAAAAGTTATCAAATAGTCTCAGAAATATGAACAAAACTTTTGAGGGAAAAAATGGTTTACTAGATTTATGCTTTATTTTTTATTGTATTATTTCTAATTTTATAATAAACAAGTTTTCGTCTTTGAGCACCCAGGTTTCACTGTGAATATATTAAAACTCTGAATGGTCAATATTTTATAATTTTTATACTTTTACATTTACTTGTATTATAACAATATAATAATTAATATTAAAAATTTATTAATTTGTATTAACAAAATTGTTTTCAATACATTTTTTAATAGACAGAAGAAAATGCCTTAATTGGGTTCTTTTTGCTTGTTCTTAACCTATAAAAGTTCCATGATGCAGATCAAGCACTTCATCTGCCATTCATATAAGTTTCTAGAGTATGTTATGTTTTGTTTAACTTGCCTGGGATCTAGTCATACTAGGTCCTTAGTTAGCCTATTTCACACTTAAGAAAATTAAAAAACAATTTTAAAAATTTCCAGAATTAGCTGTCTCTATGACCATTTTCTTTTACTTATATCTTAACTTTTTAATTGCTTTTTTAGTAATTTAGTATATATGTTTTAATTTTGTATTATATTAATGATGTGAAATTATAAGGTTATAAATCAGGCAGTCCGAAGTTTGGAACAACTTCTAGCTCAAGTCTTAAATCACAGAAAGGTATATCAAAATAAATAAAACTGAAAATAATTTCCAAATAGTGCGATATTTCAGACTTTTTTATTATTTTATATAAAAAAATTTGGCAGATTATACAGTCTAAACATTAAGATTTACATACTTTATTGATAACGTGACTTCCACCAAACCGTCGAACAAATTCTTCAGGAGTAGCTATCGTCAAGTCCCTTCCTTCAAATTGTGTTTGATCTTTTTCCAGTTGAAGGAGATGGGCCCCTGACATAGACTGCCTATGAAAAGGCAGACAGTAAGCATAGAAAATACAGATAGAACAGGGTTTCACTTAATATGGCAGGCATTTCAAGATTATTAAACCCTCCAAAAAATAATTATTTCCAGAATAATGAAATAACTGTCCATTCTAAATCATATGCAGGATATGGTAGATTGTAAAAAAAAAAAAAAAAAAAAAAAAAAAAAAAAAAATCTGGATGTCTAATCGTGGAGTAGCTAGGAATTTTGGGCCCTTCAAAAAACTTTAAAATATATATATATATATATACACTTATATAATAAAAATCATTAGCACAGATAATTATAAACTGAAAATCCATTTTAATAAAACATATGAGTTTTATTTAATGCTTTTAACCAATTCAAGAATATAATACACAAAATTTATTATCATCAAAACCACACAGAACTGATCGTAATAAACATAGCTCACTAAAAAGAAAAAATTACTGATCAAGTTATACTCACAATAATAAACAGATTTATGGAATACATACTTAGAATGGTCATTTGTATGCTTCTGTTGAGCCAAAAGTATCTATTACATTTTTAAGGTCCATTTTATTTGCCTCTTCATGCACAATGGCAAAAAGCTGAAGATCGTTTAATCATGTTTATCTAGTGTTATTTTTTCTATAATTTTTAATGACTTTCAGATTTGAAAAAAAAATTCTTTGAATATCATAGAAGTCGCTTTCCAGTGAATGGTATTTTTTTAACATTAAGTTCCCAAATTCTTGAACGGTTATATTTTCATCAAAGTGATCTTTGCACAACTGTAGAGCATTTATAAATTGTTAAGTAATTTTTGGCAACAATATTTCATAACTAATGCCTACTAAATTGGCACATTTTTGTATTAATTTTGTTTCCTCAGCATAGCTTATATAATGTGGTTCCAAAAAACCACACTGATTGCTCACATTTGTCATATCAATAAATCAATAATTCTTTTGCACTAAAATAATGTCTAAAACTCGGTAAAATGCATTCACTTTAAAATATTCTTCACAAGATTGAACTTTATGACATACTGAAAACTTGTCAAAATGAGATTTTGTCTTTTGGTTAAAAATTCTGAAGTTCTTTTAATACAAAAACTAAGACTGGAATTTGCAGATGCATATTCTACACTAGATACAAACATGACAGATTTAAAAGAAGGAAAAGATGAGCATGCAAAAATTAGATTTCTCTGCTGTTTCTGGTGATTTTCCAGGACCAGGTTAGCAAAACTTTCTTCTAGGATAGGCCATTTCGTTACTCCTTTAAGCAAAGCATATTTATTCTTTGGCATATTAATTTTCGTGACTTCATTTTTCTTCCATTCAGCTCTCACCAACACCAAACATCCCTGCTGCATCATAATTTCCATTTTCCTTCGCAAATTGAATGATGCTGCATTTGAAGCCAGCACTAAGCTGTTTTCATTTGGCAGAAAAGATATTTATACTAAAAGAAACACTAGAACAACTGTATTTCAACTAAAGCAAATGTAATTTGCTAAAGCCTTCAATGTTCACTTCAGAATCACAGCTTCAAATAACTGGAGAAAAAATGTCTGAATCCTAATTCCATGGATTCAAATTGGAAGCACATTCTTACTTCAAATTACATCCCCCATTTCTCAAAACGCTACAATAGCATTCTGTTGGACACCTGCATTGAATATAATCCACCCTCTTTGCAAGAACACAAGCATTTACTCATACACATATTGCTCCTTATTGCTTCTCAATTCAGTATACCATTGTTCGAAAGACTACGACAAATCTTCAAATAAGTGACCTGAAAAGAGTGGGCACATTCACCTGAAAGATTGAAAACAATGGACATGTATCTTTAAGGTTTTTTCATGAAGAATTGGGTATGTGTTATATTTTGAATATAACTAAAAATTTTTAAATGTAATTTGAAATTATAGGTGCATGTTATAAGGCAAATATACAGTAATTTTTTTTTTTTATTTGTAAGTATATTCGCCATATAACACAGTCTTTTCTTTATGAAGAGACGGAAGAAATACATAAGTGATAATCTTATTTTTTATAACATTAATTCGAAGATTTTTCCCAAGCTTTCAAACACTGAACTGATAAGCAGTAAGATGAACAATATATGTGACTGATGTGAAAGACACAAATATGGTTTACATAAAACAACAGTTCACGAGAAACCTCACCTTATCATAACTTTCCCACTTAGCAGACAGTACAAAAATTAAAACCCATGGTTATTTTTAAAAGAAAGACTGTGCCAAAATGTAATTTCCCAAATGGTGTTTTCATTTATATTCACAAGACGACGGATGGACAAAAACGGCGTGAAACTGTGAATACAGAATGTTTGGTAAAAGCATCCTGTTGCTTTAAAGAAACCAGAAAGTCTCTTAGTTTGGGACATGCGCAGATCCCATCTAAAGAGTAATATGAAGAAATATTTGAAAGGGTGTAATGCAAACGTGGGTATTATTCCAGACAGATTAATGGCATTAGTTCAACTTTAAATATCTGTATCAATAAAACATTCAAAGAAAATTTACAATGACAGTGATTGTGGATGTAAAAAAAAAAAAATTTACAAAAGGAGGTAAATGTGTCATGCTAGTCAAGAAATAATGTGTGAGTGAATAATAAGAGCATGAAATGAAATTAAACTCAACATAATTCAAAAGTCATTTTAAAAATGTAGCAATCTAGACAGATTGGTTAACGAAAATTTTAAGTTCATGAGCTATGTCTTTTCTTTTGAATAAACAACATTTAGGTACATGTAGTAATATAATTCTTTTATGATCATATTTTCATTATTTTTAAGTCTATCATTTTTATATCCAGCGTATAATAAAGGTGGTCATCATACACCTGAATACACACTATCTTATTCAGCAGCATTTGTTTTAAATTATGACCAGCACATTGAATTAATTCATCTTGTATGGTATAGCTCAAATACTGTGAACTCCCTACTGGCATTTCAAACACTTAATCCGTAACACTGTTATATTTACTTAATGATTTAGCCTGCGATTAAAAAAAAAAACTAGTATTTCTATCTTCAATATGACCATGAAAAGTTAACACATTTTTTTACAGTGTAAACGTATATCAAATAACCCTTCTAAAACCAATTCCCAAAAATTCGCCTCATATTGGACTTGTCCTCTGATGTCTTTATCAAGAGCCAAAATTTTTTTTCCATGCTTCATACACAGTGCTAACTTCCACGTGTGATTTAAAAAACTGCAAGTTTTAATTCTTACCACTAAATTTTCCACTGCAGTATGCAGCAATTTATAGTAACATGATCAATGTCATGGCCCTTGTTTGTACTTTGTCAAGGATACATAATATGCTGCACTAAAATGCCCATGTCCTTTAGTATCTTTTGGAAATGAGCCTGTAAGTTTTTTATCTTTTTCATCATAATGAATTAGAAATCTTCTCACATAATCAGTTATATTTTTACATACATAATTACCTGTATCTGCTGATGTACACATATCTGTTTTTCTGTATGTTTGTTGTCAGCTCTACTAGTAGAGGTGACTTCAGTCGATAATCCAGTTTTCTGTTCAGACTGATTCAATCTTACTGGGACAGACAATACCTATTGAAGAAATCTTTTTGGGATATGATGTTTTAATAATAAAGTTGTCTAATTTTTTAAGTTTCCCCTCTCTTTTGCCTGTTTTTTCTTTCCTTTTCATTTTTCGGTCACATTCTTGATTTTTCTTATACATTTGAAGAAATAAATAAATATATATATTCTAACCATGAAATTTTAATAAGCACACAGACTACTATAGAACATATGCACTTAGCTGATTGCCCCCTCTGATCAAATTAACATGCACAGTCTAACCAAAAGAAATGTGTTTGGTTTGTGACAGCAATTATTTGCTATGCTTTAATATCTTCTTATTCTCTAATATAAAAACACAGTAAAAACAAACACAATATGATTTACACAAACAAAACAGGCTACTCAGATTGCAGCTGCTCATTTGATGACAATTCTATTATAACACAGACAAGCCAATATATGTAAACAAAAGAATTCACTACACAGCACTGGAATTAGCAACAAACAAGATAGGCTACTGTGGCATTCAATTTTATTTCTAATTTTAATATTATTTGAAGAGAAAATATAAAATACTTTTATAACTCACAAAATTTAAAATTAAGTCCGTACATATAAAATACATTTTGGTGTCAAATATATTTTGATGGATTCAGCAACAAATTTTATTAATTTATTATTAGGATGGATTCTACAACAAATTTACTATTACTTTTCAAATACACAAAAATTAAAAAGTTATGGGCATTTAAACTCAGTAGGCCCTTTAAACATCGATTATCTATACCCACTCAAGTCTAACAATACTGCATATATATAACTTCATCATACATCATTTTTAACATACATTCCATAATTAGATGCATCACTAATGATTTAATATTTACCAACAATTCAACACTGCTTTATTAATTAATCATTTAACCCTTTAACAAAAGAATAAAATCTTCCTGTGATAAAAATTACAGTCTTACAAAATGTTATTAAATAATATTTATTATGAAACTAGTTAACTTAAACAAAATTTATCCTTTTTAATGTTGCCTTTAAAGTAAATAATATGTGTACTGAGTAAACACAGTCTCCTAATTCGAAATTTTATATTTATTGGGGAAAAAATTGTTTCTATCTCCCTCACTGCAAAGGGAAGTCTGAATGGTGCTGCAGTAAGAAAAGACCAAATTCCAGTAGACTATTTTGTTTGTTTTTTTAACATGAATTTGATTTAATGTAGCTTCAAAAATAATCTACTCCTTTTTATATGATTTATTTGAAATAAAATAGTTCAAACAAAGCCTTAAAAAATCCATTTAATCTATCTCTGAAATTATATTTCTACTTAAGAAGAAGAATCCTAGAATTTATGACAAAAATGCCATTTTCACAATGACACAATTTAGGGGGAAGATTA